TCCCCTGGGACTGTCAGGGCAGCACAAGTATGAGGTGGGGGCAGCTCCTGTCTGGGACTTATCCTTCGATGTTCCGATTTTTTGCAGTCAGCTGTCGGCTCAGGGCCACAGGACTCGGGGCGCAAACATCGGCTCTTTTCCCTGGGAAAGAAAACTCACCAGTCCAGGTTCCTGATGTCAGTTTGTAGAACTCTTTTTGGACTGTCAGGGCAGCACAAGTATGAGGTGGGGGCAGCTCCTGTCTGGGACTTATCCTTCGATGTTCCGATTTTTTGCAGTCAGCTGCCGGCTCAGGGCCACAGGACTCGGAGCGCAAACATCGGCTCTTTTCCCTGGGAAAGAAAACTCACCAGTCCAGGTTCCTGATGTCAGTTTGTAGGGCTCCCCTGGGACTCTCAGGGTAGCACAAGTATGAGGTGGGGGCAGCTCCTGTCTGGGACTTATCCGTCGATGTTCGGATTTTTTGCACTCAGCTACCCGCTCAGGGCCACAGGACTCGGAGCGCAAACATCGGCTCTTTTCCCTGGGAAAGAAAACTCACCAGTCCAGGTTCCTGATGTCAGTTTGTAGGGCTCCCCTGGGACTGTCAGGGTAGCACAAGTATGAGGTGGGGGCAGATCCTGTCTGGGACTTATCCTTCGATGTTCGGATTTTTTGCAGTCAGCTGCCGGCTCAGGACCACAGGACTCGGAGCGCAAACATCGGCTCTTTTCCCTGGGAAAGAAAACTCACCAGTCCAGGTTCCTGATGTCAGTTTGTAGGGCTCCCCTGGGACTCTCAGGGCAGCACAAGTATGAGGTGGGAGCAGCTCCTGTCTGGGACTTATCCTTCGATGTTCCGATTTTTTGCAGTCAGCTGTCTGCTCAGGGCCACAGGACTCGGGGCGCAAACATCGGCTCTTTTCCCTGGGAAAGAAAACTCACCAGTCCAGGTTCCTGATGTCAGTTTGTAGAGCTCTTTTTGGACTGTCAGGGCAGCACAAGTATGAGGTGGGGGCAGCTCCTGTCTGGGACTTATCCTTCGATGTTCCGATTTTTTGCAGTCAGCTGCCGGCTCAGGGCCACAGGACTCGGAGCGCAAACATCGGCTCTTTTCCCTGGGAAAAAAAACTCACCAGTCCAGGTTCCTGATGTCAGTTTGTAGGGCTCCCCTGGGACTGTCAGGGCAGCACAAGTATGAGGTGGGGGCAGCTCCTGTCAGGGACTTATCCTTCGATGTTCGGATTTTTTGCACTCAGCTGCCGGCTCAGGGCCACAGGACTCGGAGCGCAAACATCGGCTCTTTTCCCTGGGAAAAAAAACTCACCAGTCCAGGTTCCTGATGTCAGTTTGTAGGGCTCCCCTGGGACTGTCAGGGTAGCACAAGTATGAGGTGGGGGCAGCTCCTGTCTGGGACTTATCCTTCGATGTTCGGATTTTTTGCAGTCAGCTGCCCGCTCAGGGCCACAGGAGTCGGAGCGCAAACATCGGCTCTTTTCCCTGGGAAAGAAAACTCACCAGTCCAGGTTCCTGATGTCAGTTTGTAGAGCTCTTTTTGGACTGTCAGGGCAGCACAAGTATGAGGTGGGGGCAGCTCCTGTCTGGGACTTATCCTTCGATGTTTGGATTTTTTGCGGTCAGCTGCCGGCTCAGGGCCACAGGACTCGGAGCGCAAACATCGGCTCTTTTCCCTGGGAAAAAAAACTCACCAGTCCAGGTTCCTGATGTCAGTTTGTAGGGCTCCCCTGGGACTGTCAGGGCAGCACAAGTTTATTCTCTTGGCCCAGTGGCCCTGAGCGGGCAGCTGATCGCAAAAAATCCAAACATCGAAGGATTTTTTTTTTTTTTCATTTTTATTTTAGGCCAATATAAAATCATACATTCTAAACAGGAATTTTCTCGAAATCAAGTGTTTCAATAAACCAAAAAAACTCTAACATATTTTAAATAACTACTAAAAGGCCAGAAAATGTAACGCAATCTGGCAACCCACAACTGTCTCGAAGTGTCTACAATAAACCTTCTTTAAAAAAACCCAACAAATACTCCTTACCACCTCAACAATACCTCACCAGCAACACCAAACAAGTCAAAATCCTTTAACTCCCATCCAAAAAATGCTCTATAAACTGAAACACTATGTCATCTACAAAATACACTCACCCTTCAACAACCTCCTCTAACCTATACACAAATCTAAAATAAATAAGAATTGACTATAAACTATCATACCTTAAATAACTCCACCATTAAACACTACTACACCCAACTTATTAAAACTCCAATACAAACTAAAAGCAAAAACCACAAAATAACACACTACTGTTAACATTGCCTATATATTTTTCCTCCATTCCTCTAACAACTAAATACAAACCTCAATTTACCTTCACTTGAAAAACATACAACACACCTACATACAACTACCCCAAAAATAAAAACAGTCCTACCATCTACATAAATTCATCCAAATGAAACTTAAAAAGTCAAACTCAAAATCTTCTGTAATAATCCAACAACATTAGATGAAAAACATAACAAAAATATTTTTAAAAATCATCCAAATTCTTCTAAAATACTATTACACCACAAAAAAAAAAAAGCAGCAAAATCAAAAAGCATACTGAAAAATCCAGTTCCTAAAAGTAAAATAACAAAAGAAACATCAAATTCCCACCAATTTCATCAAAAAAAGTCAGAATGGCTCCATGAGCCATCAAAAAAAAAAAAAAAACCACAACCTAAAAGAAAATGCCAAACCACCTCAAACACAAACAATAAAACACAGCCCCTCTTACCATGGTATTATTTTAATATTATGATTAAAATACATATTCTATACAAAAATGTCCTCTACCCCGCCATCAATTCCACATAAAGCAAATAAATTAACTCTTATCATACAGGACATTCATATCAAAAATCTCAATCACCCTAAAACCTTCCAAATAATTACAAATTAACCCCAAAATAAGAACGTTAATCTCTAACAAAAGAAACCCAAAAAAACACAAACTAAAAATACACCACCACAGAACCAACTACCAGCAAAAAAAACCCCCACACTACACTCTTTTCACTAGCAGCTGTTAGTGAGACACATCACAAAAATGAAACAAAAATAAAAAACAGCCCACAGAAACCAAAACACATATAGAGAACAAATCACAAAACCCACTAGAAAAAGTCCAACCAGCTTACTAAACTTGAAACCACACAACAGACCCTGAAAGCTACTAAAAATGAAAACCATACCTCTACACTAACTCCAAGAGTAACCAGTAGTCTGCTAAGTTAACTTTAAAAACCAAAGTAATAAACGATATTAAAAAATCTAAAACACTAGACAATAAAAAGATAAGTACCCAAATAAAAAACTACCTAAAAAAATCCACAATATAAATACACAAGTTCCTAAAATAACCCACTAATAAAAAGCAACCAACAAAAACATCAAACTAAAACAAAAACCCAAATAAATAAACTTAAATTAACAGCGAAAAAAATTATTCCTAACTCAATAAAGCCATAATGCTTCAAACCATCAAAATACAAATAGTAGCTGGAAATAAACACATCACCAAAAGATAAATGTAACCATAAACAATAACTCCCAAATTACCGGTAACAATAAAATATTCACAACAATTAAACAAACCAAATGAATAAAACCTCTGTAATCGAATAAACAAGAAGGCAATTATCAAATAAAAAAAACCAAACTTACTAATTAACTTAATTAATTAACTTAAACCCACCAAAACAAACACTACATTCTCACTTCAACGAGGGCAAAGAAATGTGGGCTCCCCTTCAATTGCATCCCCCAGAAGAGCAGAAAAGAAGGGGTTTGCCTCAAATGATGGCAAAAAGCAGAATTTTACCTCAATCCAAACCCTTAAAAGGAGGGACAACAGGGCAGCCCCCCTCATTTCAACCTCAGGATGATGAAATTCAAAAGGTAAAAGAGAAAATTCCCCACTACAAAGGCGCACCGGCTCACCTGTTTGGCTGCTGCTTCTCGGCACAAAGATTTGTCCCTCGGCTCCTCCTTTGAGCAAAGCTCCACGAATCCAAATGATCCCCCAAATCCTTTCCGAAGCGCCCATCGTCCCTCCATGAGACAGCCCCGGGAGCCCCCCAAAAACTCCTCTTCTCCAGCAGCTCCGTGCAAAAGTGATGTGAGGAAAAACTCCCTCTAAATCAGCCCCTGTAGGAGCCGCCCCCTTCTCATCATCCTCACAGCTCTCACCTGTGAGCCTTCATCATCCTCACAGCTCACACCTGTGCGCCTTCATCATCCTGACAGCTCACACCTGTGAGCCCTCATCATCCTCACAGCTCACACCTGTGAGCCTTCATCATCCTCACAGCTCACACCTGTGAGCCCTCATCATCCTCACAGCTCACACCTGTGAGCCCTCATCATCCTCACAGCTCACACCTGTGAGCCCTCATCATTCTCACAGCTCACACCTGGGGCTGCTCTGAGCCCTCCTCATCCTCACAGCTCACACCCCAAAACCCCTCAGAGCCCCCCAAAATCCTTCACACATCTCCCAGAGTTCCACAGGCCGACCCCAAAACCCCTCAGAGCCCCCCAAAATCCTTCACACATCTCCCAGAGTTCCACAGGCCGACCCCAAAACCCCCTAAATCCCCCAAAATCCCTCACACATGTCCCAGAGTCCCACAGGCTGACCCCAAAACCCCCAAAACCCCTCAGAGCCCCCCAAAATCCTTCACACATCTCCCAGAGTTCCACAGGCCGACCCCAAAACCCCCTAAATCCCCCAAAATCCCTCACACATGTCCCAGAGTCCCACAGGCTGACCCCAAAACCCCCAAAACCCCTCAGAGCCCCCCAAAATCCTTCACAAATCCCCACAAGTCCCACAGGACAACCCCAAAACCCCCTAAATCCCCCAAAATCCCTCACACGTGTCCCAGAGTCCCACAGGCCAACCCCAAAACCCCCAAAACCCCCCAGAGCCCCCCAAAAAACGGAGACGGAGGCGGTGCCAAAGCTCAGTGGCCCTTTATAAAAAGGGGGGGCTCGGGGGCCCCCCCATATCCACATATGTACAGGGGGGAGGGGCATGTACAGGTATTTACACCCCCCGGGGGTATTTACAGAGTGGGGGGAGGGGCGGGGGGGGAGGGGCAGACCCCCCCCTCCCCCACATCCCCCCCCCACCCCAGACACGCCCCCAGTTTCTACAAGAAACAGCCAAAAAAAAGGGAGAAAAAAGCCTTTTTTGGGAGGGGGGAGGGGCGCGGTGACGTCGCGATGATGTCACGGCGACGTCGCGATGATGTCACGGCGATGTCGCGGTGATGTCACGGTGATGTCATCGTGGTGGGGGAGGGGCGGCAGTGCCGCGGCGGCCAAAGGTCGACTCTCGGCTCCCTCCGGTCGGTGGTGGCTCCCGGTGGCCAAACGCTGATCCCGGTGGCCAAAACCCAACGGTGGTGGCCAAACGTCAACCACGGCAACCAAAGGTCAATGGTGGCAGCCAAACCCCAACGGTGGTGGCCAAAACCCAACGGTGTTGCCCAAAACACAACGGTGTTGCCCAAAACCCAACGGCGGTGGCCAAACGTCAACCACGGCAACCAAAGGTCAATGGTGGCAGCCAAACCCCAACGGTGGTGGCCAAAAGCCAACGGCGGTGGCCAAACCCCAACTATGGCAGCCAAAAGCCAACGGCGGTGGCCAAACGTCAACCACAGCGGCCGAAGGTCAATGGTGGCAGCCAAACCCCAACCATGGCGGCCAAAATCCAACAGTGGTGACCAAAGGTCAACGGTGGCGGCCAAAATCCAACGGTGGTGGCCAAACCCCAACCATGGTGGCCAAAAGTCAATTGTGGCAGCCAAACCCCAACCACGTTGGCCAAAACCCAACCATGGTGGCCAAAACCCAACCCTGGTGGCCAAACCCCAACCACGTTGGCCAAAACCCAACCATGGTGGCCAAAACCCAACGGTGGCAGCCAAACCCCAACCACGTTGGCCAAAACCCAACCGCGGACGCGCCGCGTCACCCTCGGCCCCCGAGCCGCGGCCGCGCCGCCGTTCCCGCCGCGGGCCCCGCGCGGCGCCGGCGCGTCAGTTGAGGGTGCCGCGGCAGCTCTCGGTGCGGCACAGGCACGGGATCTTGGTGTCCTCGATGGGGAACTTGTAGTCGTAGGTGATCTCCTCGTTGACGCCGATCGGCTGCTTCGAGTAGATGACGATCTTCTTCTGCGCCTCGATGGTGATCACCTTGGCGTAGCAGTTGGGCTGGGGGGCACCGGGGGTCAGCGGACCCACAAGTACCGGGGTCAGCGGGACCCCCAAGTACCAGGGTCAGCGGACCCACAAGTACCGGGGGGTCGGTGGTACCCCCAAGCACCGGGGTCAGCGGGACCCCCAAGTACCGGGGTGAGGGGACCCCCAAGTACTGGGGTCAGTGGGACCCACAGCGACCCCCAGGGCATGAGGGGTCAGGGGGACCCACAGAGCACCGTGGGTCAGCAGGACCCCCAAGCCCTGGGGACCACCAGGACCCCCCGCGCCTCCCAAGTCCTGGGGACCAGCAGGACCCCCTGAGCCCCCCAAGCACTAAAGGGGTCAGTGGGACCCCCTGAGCCCTGGGGACCACCAGGACCCCCCGAGCCCCCCAAGTCCTGGGGACCATCAGACCCCCAGAGCCCCCCAAGCCCTGGGGACCACCAGGACCCCCTGAGCCCCCCGAGCCCCCCAGGACCCCCCAAGCCCCCCGGCCCCCCGCGCCCCCCGCGCCGCGCTCACTGTGCAGCAGTGGTTGATGAAGCGCGCCAGGTTGCCGCACTTGGTGGCGTCGATGATGGTGTCGTGGTCCACGCGGAACAGGTAACTGCTGCCGATGCCCTCCTGCGCGTAGCGCTTCTCACGCATGTCCGCCACCACCTGCGCCCGCCCCGCGTCACCGAGGCCACCCCGGGTCACCCGGGGTCAGCCAAGGCCACCCGAGGTCAGCCGGGGTCACCCGATGTCACCCGAGGTCACCCGGGGTCACCCAAGGCCACCCAAGGCCACCCAAGGCCAACCAAATCCACCCAGAGGTCACCCAGAGGCCACCCGAGATCACCCAGAGGTCACCCGAGGCCACCCAGAGGCCACCCAAAGCCACCCAGAGGTCACCCAAGGACACCCAGAGGCCACCCAAGGACACCCAAGGACACCCAGGGTCACCCAGAGGCCACCCAAGGTCACCAGAGGTCACCCAAGGCCACCCAAGGACACCCAGAGGTCACCCAAGGACACCCAGAGGTCACCCAGAGGTCACCCAAGGACACCCAGAGGTCACCCGGGGTCACCCGAGGCCAACCAAGGCCACCCGAGGCCACCCAAGGACACACAGAGGCCACCCAGAGGCCACCCAAAGCCACCCAGAGGTCACCCAAAGCCACCCAGAGGTCACCCAAGGCCACCCAGAGGCCATCCAAGGCCACCCAGAGGCCACCCGGGGTCACCCAGAGGTCACCCAGAGACCACCCAGAGGCCAACCAAGTTCACCAGAGGCCACCCAAGGCCACCCGAGATCAGCCAAGGACACCCAGGGTCACCCAGAGGCCACCCAAGGTCACCAGAGGTCACCCAAGGCCACCCAGAGGCCACCCAGAGGCCACCCGAGGTCACCCAGAGGCCACCCAGAGGCCACCCGAGGCCACCCAGAGGCCACCCAGAGGCCACCCGAGGCCACCCAAAGCCACCCAGAGGTCACCCAAGGACACCCAAGGACACCCAGAGGCCACCGAAGGTCACCCAAGGACACCTAAGGACACCCAAGGACACCCAGAGGCCACCCAAGGCCACCCGAGGCCACCCAGAGGTCACCCAAGGACACCCATGGCCACCCGGGGTCACCCAGAGGCCACCCAGAGGTCACCCAAAGCCCCGGGGACACCGAGGGGACACCGTGGGGACAGCGATGGCCCTGGGGACACCTGAGGGGGTCTGGGGACACCGAGGGGACACCGAGGGGACACTGATGGGCCCGGGGACACTGAGGGGACACCGATGACACCTTGGGGACACCGTGGGGACACGGTGGGCCACGCACCTGGCGGATGTTCTGGCCCACGTACTCGATGACCATCTCGTCGGCCGCGATGGGCTCCATGGCGAACAGACCCCACTCGTGGATGCGGCTGCGGCCGAAGCGGAGACGCTTCTTCCGGAACTGGGGGGACAATGGGGGACAAAGGGGTAGCACCGGGGACATGGGGACACGGGGGGGACACAGGGACAGGGGGGGACAGGGGGTGGCACCGGGGACACGGGGACACAGGGGGAACACAGGGACAGGGGGGGACACAGGGGGGACACAGGGACAGGGGGGGACAGGGGGTGGCACCGGGGACACGGGGATGGGGACGGGAGGACAAAGGGACACAGGGGTGGCACACGGGGACACGGGGGTGGCACATGGGGACAAAGGGACACGGGGGGGACACGGGGGTCACAGGGACATGGGGGGGACACGGGGGGACACGGGGGGACACGGGGGTGGCACAGGGGGACACGGGGATGTGATGATGGCACAGCGGACACAGGGACATGGGGGGTCACAGGGACACGGGGGGACATGGGGATGGCACGGGGGGACAAAGGGACATGGGGGGGTCACAGGGATGGCATGGGGTTCACAGGGACATGGGGGGTCACAGGGACACGGGGGGACATGGGGATGGCACGGGGGGACAAAGGGACATGGGGGGGTCACAGGGATGGCATGGGGTTCACAGGGACATGGGGGGTCACAGGGACATGGGGGGTCACAGGGACATGGGGGGTCACAGGGACATGGGGGGGACACGGGGGTGGCACAGGGGGACACAGGGATGGCATGGGGGGACATGGGGGGGACATGGGGATGGCACGGGGGGACACGGGGATGGCACAGGGGGACACGGGGACATGAGGGGAACACGAGGACGGCACACGGGGACACGTCACCAGTGCCGGGGACACGCAGTGACACCGGTGTGACCGCAGTGACACCGAATGACCCCGGAGCCACCATCGGGACCCACCTTGAGCTGGTTGAGCTTGAGCAGGTCGCTGTCCGGCAGCGCGGCCGCGCCGATGGCGCTGAGCAGCCGCCGCTGCTCCGAGCGGCGCTCCGACAGGACGCGGTTGGGGCCCTGCGGGCGGTGACACCGTGGGGACACCGCGGTGACATCGGGGACACCGTGGGGACGTCACGGGGCTCACCTGTGCGTCGGGCGCGTCGGGGTCGGGGCGCGGCGCGGGGCAGGGCCGCAGGTAGCGCGCCTTCTCGCGCCGGCTGATGGGGTAGTAGCCCTCGCTGCGGGCGCTGCCCGTCCGGTGCTCGCGGCTCTCCGGCCACCGGCGCCGGCGCCGCGGGCTGCCCGCGCGCGTCAGTGAGCGCGTCAAGGGACAACGGGACAGCCATGGCACCCTTGGGGCCCCAGGGCCCGTCACTGTGTCCTTAATGCCACCCTTGGGTCCCCAGAGCCCGTCACTGTGTCCTTAATGCCACCCTTGGGTCCCCAGAGCCACCCTTGGGTCCCCAGAGCCCGTCCCTGTGTCCCCAGGGCCCATCCAATGTCCCCAATGCCACCCTTGGGTCCCCAACACCCATCTTGGTGTCCTCAACACCCATTCCAATGTCCCCAGTGTCACCCTTGGGTCCCAAGTGCCCGTCCTTGTGTCCCCAACACCCATCTTGGTGTCCCCAGAGCCACCCTTGGGTCCCCAGTGCCACCCTTGTGTCCTCAACAACCATCCAAATGTCCCCAATGCCCATCCCTGTGTCCCCAGTGCCCATCCCTGTGCCCCCAACACCCATCTTGGTGTCCCCAGGGCCCGTCCCTGTGTCCCCAATGCCCATCCCTGTGTCCCCGGTGCCACCCTTGGGTCCCCAGAGCCCATCCTTGTGTCCCCGATGGCACCCTTGGGGCCCCAAAGTTAATCCCTGTGTCCCCAGGGCCCGTCCCTGTGTCCCCAATGCCCATCCCTGTGTCCCCAGTGCCACCCTTGTGTCCCCAGGGCCCATCCCTGTGTCCCCAAAGCCCATCTTTGTGTCCCCAATGTCACCCTTGTGTCCCCAGAGCCCGTCACTGTGTCCCCGATGGCACCCTTGGGTCCTCAACAACCATCTTGATGTGTCCCCAACACCCATCCCAATGTCCCCAACAACCATCCAAATGTCCCCGATGGCACCCTTGGGTCCCCAGAGCCCATCCATGTGTCCCCAGGGCCCATCCCTGTGTCCCCAAAACCCATCCCAATGTCCCCAACACCCGTCCCAATGTCCCCAACGCCCATTCCAATGTCCCCAACACCCATCCAAATGTCCCCAACACCCATTCCAACATCCCCAACACCCATCCAACGTCCCCAACACCCATTCCAGTGTCCCCAACACCCATCCAACGTCCCCAACACCCATTCCAGTGTCCCCAACACCCATCCCAATGTCCCCAACACCCATTCCAATGTCCCCAACACCCATCCAATGTCCCCAACACCCATCCAATGTCCCCAACACCCATTCAATGTCGCCAACACCCATCCCAATGTCCCCAATACCCATTTTGGTGTCCCCAATGCCCATTTTTGTGTCCCCAACACCCATTCCAATGTCCCCAACGCCCATTCCAATGTCCCCAACCCCCACTCCAGTGTCCCCAACCCCCACTCCAGTGTCCCCACCCGCAGCCCCGTCAGGATATCGGTGTGGGGCACCCAGTGGGTGTCGTTGAGCCAATGGGCGGCGCCGTCCTGCTGCAGCAGCCGCTCGTAGGTGACCCGCAGGAACCGCGCGTCCTCGGCGTCCAGCCCGGCGCTCCAGATGTCGTACAGGATCGTCATCTGCTCGAACTCGCTGCGCGGCGTGAACGCCACCGGTGCCACCGGCGCGGTGCCGCCACCGCGGGGCCGCAGCCACCGCCGCGCGCCGCCCTCGCTGCTGTCGCTGTCGCTGTCGCTGTCACTCGATGATGATGATGATGATGATGATGACGGCGGCGGCGGTCGGTGCCGTTTGCGCCGCGGCGGAACCGCCGACGGAACCGCCGCGTCGCTGTCGGTGCCGCCGACCGGCGGCAGCTCCGCCACCACCTCCTCGGGCGCCTCCAGCACCTCCTCCAGGCACGGCGCGTGCCCGGCGGGCGCGGCCGGCGGCGTTTTGGCGTAGTTGTGCTCCAGCAGCACCGGCGGCGCGTCGGTGTCATTGTCATCGGTGAGAGCGATGGCCGCCAACACCGCCAAATCGCCGCCAACGCCGCGCTGGGGGCTCCTGCGGGGGGCGCTGTGCGCGCCGCGGGACAGCTCCAGCAGCGAGGAGGCCCCGAGGTGCTCGGCGGCGGCGCGGGGCGGGCGCCGGGGCGGGGGGCGCCGCGCCGGACCCCCGTCGGTGGCGTTGGTGGCGTTGGTGGAGGTGTCGGCGCAGCTCTTCACCAGCGACGCGTGATCCGCCGGGAGGTTCGCCACCAACCGCGGCGCCGGCGCCGGGGGGCGGGCGGGGGGCTCGCGGCGCCGGGGGAGGGGCGTGGGGGGTTTGGGGGGGCTCGGGGGGCTCGGGGGGCTCGGGGGGGGCGGTTGTGGGGGGGCGGGGGGCGGCTCTTCGGCCTTTCGGCGTTTTTTGGGGGGCGGCAGCAGCGGGATGGGGGAGGAGGGGCGCGGCGGCGGCGGGGGAGGGGCTGCGGGAGAGAAAGGGGGGGTCAGCGGGGGGGAACCCGAAATTTGGGAGATTCATCCCAAAATTTGAAAGATTCACCCCAATATTTGGGAGATTCACCACAAAAGTTGAAAGATTCACCCCGAAATTTGGGAGATCCACCCCAAAATTTGGGATATTCACCCCGAAATTTGGGAGATCCACCCCGAAATTTGGGAGATTCGCCCCGAAATTTGAGAAATTAAACCCGGAATTTGGGAGATTCACCCTGAAATTTGGGAGATCCACCCCGAAATTTGGGAGATTCACTCCGAATTTTGGGAGATTCACCCCAAAATTTGGGATATTCACCCCAAAATTTGGGATATCCACCCCAAAATTTGGGAGATCCACCCCAAAAGTTGAAAGATTCACCCTGAAATTTGGGAGATTCACTCCGAAATTTGGGAGATCCACCCCGAAATTTGGGAGATCCGCCCCGAATTTTGCGAGATCTGCCCCAAATCTTGGGAGATTCACCCCAAAATTTGAAAGATTCACCCCGAAATTTGGGAGATCCACCCCAAAATTTGGGAGATTCACCCCAAAATTTGGGATATCCACCCCAAAATTTGGGATATCCACCCCGAAATTGGGGATATCCACCCCGAAATTGGGATATCCACCCCAAATTTGGGATATTCCCCCCGAATTTTGGGGAATTTGGGGCGGTGCTTACCCGGTTTGGGGGAGGGCGGCCGCGGCGGCTCCGGCGGCTCTTCGGCCTCGTCCTCGGAGGATGAGGATGATGATGATGATGATGAGGATGATGAGGATGAGGAGGGTGAGGACGAAGGCCGCGGGGAGGAGGAGCTGCTGTCCCCTCCCCCCTCGAACGGCGACAGTTTGGAGGAGCCTTCGGCCTCTTCCTCCTCCTCCTCTTCCTCCTCCTCCTCCTCTTCTTCCTCCTCTTCCTCCTCCTCTGCAGTGACACAGTGGGGTCACCCCCCTGCGCCCCCCAAGTGACCCCAAACCCCAAAAATGTCCCAAATCCCCCCAAAAACGTCCCCAACACCCCCAAAGTATCCCCAAATATCCCCAAAATATCCCCAAAACGTCCCCCAAATGTCCCCAAATATTCCCAAAATGCCCCAAAATGACCCCAAATATCCCCAAAACGTCCCCAAATGTCCCCAAACCCCAAAATCTCCCCAATCCCCCCAAAAATGTCCCCAACCCCCCCAAAATGTCCCCAAAACGTCCCCCAAAGTCCCCAAATTCCCCCAAATGACCCAAAATGACCCAAAATGTCCCCAAATGTCCCCAAACCCCTCACCCGGGCCCGGCCGGGGGGGTCCCCTCGATGTCCCCAACCCCCAAATGTCCCCAAATGTCCCCAAATGTCCCCAAATATCCCAAATGTCCCCAAATGTCCCAAAATGGTCCCAAATCCCCCCAAAATGTCCCCGAATGACCCCAAATGTCCCAAATCCCCCCAAATGTCCCCAAATGTCCCCAAATGTCCCAAAATGTCCCCAAATGTCCCAAATGTCCCAAAATGTCCCCAAATGTCCCAAATGTCCCCAAATGCCCCCAAATGTCCCAAAATGTCCCAAATGTCCCAATTGTCCCCAAATGTTCCCAAATGCCCCCAAATGTCCCCAAATGTCCCAAAATGTCTCCAAATGTCCCCAAATGTCCCCAAATGTCCCAAAATGTCCCAAAATGTTCCCAAATGTCCCAAAATGTCCCAAATGTCCCCAAATATCCCCAAATGTCACAAAATGGTCCCAAATGTCCCAAATGTCCCCAAATGTTCCCAAATGTCCCAAAATGTTCCCAAATGTTCCCAAATGTCCCAAAATGGTCCCAAATGACCCCAAATGTCCCCAAATGTCCCAAATCCCCCCAAAATGTCCCAAAATCCCCGAAAACGTCCCCAAACCTCACCCGGGCCGGGCCGGGGGGGTCCCCGGGGGGGTGGGGGGGGCCCCTCCCCCTTCCTCCTCCTCCTCCTCCTCCTCCTCCTCCTCTGCGCTTCGGCCTCGTCCTCCTCCTCCTCCTCCTCCTCCTCTTCCTCCTTTGGGGGTCACGGGGGGTCAGGGGGTCCCCAAAATCGGGGGGGGGTCCCCAAAACACGGGGGGGGCCCCCAAAATCCGGAGGGGGGGGCCCCAAAATCCGGGGGGGTACCCAAAACACGGGGGGGGGGTCCCCAAAACCCATCCCCAAAACACGGGGGGGGTTCCCAAAATTCGGGGGGGGGGGCCCCAAAATTCGGGGGGGGGGGCCCCAAAATTCGGGGGGGGGGCCCCAAAATCGGGGGGCGTCCCCAAAATCCGGGGGGGGGTCCCCAAAATCCGGGGGGGGGGGCCCAAAATTCGGGGGGGGCCCCCAAAATTCGGGGGGGGGTCCCCAAAATCGGGGGGGGGTCCCCAAAATCGGGGGGGGTCCCCAAAATCCGGGGGGGGTCCCACCTTGGCCGAGGAGGACTCTTCGGACGCCTCTTCCCCTTCGCTGTCCAACCGGAAAAGTTTCCGGCGCTTTCCGGGACCCTCTGCGGCGCGCGGCGACTCCTTCTCTGCTTTGGGGCAAATTCGGGCGATTTTGGGGTTTTTGGGGTTTTTTGGGTTTTTTTTTTGGGGTGGTTTGGGGGATTTTTTGCGGTTTTTTTGGGGATTTTTTGTGGGTTTTTTGGGGTTTTTTGCGGGTTTTTTGCGGGTTTTTTCAGGGGGTTTTTGGGTTTTTAGGAGGATTTTTTGCGGTTTCTTGGAGGATTTTTTGGGGTTTCTTGGAGGATTTTTAGGGTCTTTTTTGGGGTTTTTTAGGGGTATTTTTTTCTTGGTTTTTTAGGGGATTTTTAGGGGTTTCTTTGAAGGATTTTTAGGGGTTTTTAGGGATTTTTTTTCTTGGTTTTTTAGGGGATTTTTAGGGGTTTCTTTGAAGGATTTTTAGGGGTTTTTAGGGATTTTTTTTCTTGTTTTTTTAGGGGATTTTTAGGGGTTTCTTTGAAGGATTTTTAGGGTTTTTTTTGAGTTTTTTAGGAATTTTTTTCCTTCGTTTTTTAGGGTATTTTTTTGGGTACTTTTTGGGTATTTAGGGGTTTTTTTTTGGGGGGTTTTTTTGTGTGGTTTCTTGGGGGATTTCTGAGGTTTATTAGCAGGTCTTGGGGTGTTTTTTGGGGTGTTTTTGGGGAGTTTGGGGTTTTTAGGGGGTATCTAAAGGGGTTTTTGGGGTTATTTAGAGTGTTTTTTTTGGTGTTTTTTGGGGGGTTTGGGGTGTTTTTTGGGGTGTTTTTTTGGGGTGTTTTTTGGGGGGTTTGGGGTGTTTTTTGGGGTTTTTTTGGAGTGTTTTTGGGGGGTGTTTTTGAGGGTTTTTTTTTGGGGTTTTGGGGGTTTTTAGGGGGTATCTAAAGGGGTTTTTGGGGTTTTTTAGCGGTGTTTTTGGGGTTTTTGAGGTTTTTAGGGGGTACTTAAAGGGGTTTTGGGGTTTCTTAGCATTTTTTGGGGGTTTCGAGGAGGGGGTCTCACCATCCTCATCCTCCTCGGGGGGGGTGGGGGGTCGGGGGCGCTTCTCCTCCCCCCCCTCGTTCAGCTCCGACGGCTCTTTCCGCTTCACCTGCGGGAAACGGGGGAAAAATTGGGGAAAACGGGGAAAAAATGAAAAAAGGAGAAAAAAGAACCCCGAAACCCCCCAGACCCTCCCCAAAAAGGGACACCCAGCACCCCAAAATCCCCCCGGGACCCCCAAATCCCCCCCAAACCCCCCAAAATCCCCTCCAAGACCCCCAAATACCCTCCAGAACCCCCCCAAACCCGCCCAGGACCCCCCAAAATCCCCTCCAAGACCCCCAAATGTCCCCAAAATCCCCTCCAAGACCCCCAGATCCGCCCCCAACCTGCCCAGGACCCCCCAAAATCCCCTCCAAGACCCCCAAATCCCCCCCGGACCCACCCAGGACCCCCCCAAACCCACGCAGGCCCCCCCAAAATCCCCTCCAAGACCCCAAAATCCCCTCCAGACTCCCCCTAAAGCCCCCCAGGACCCCCCAAAATCCCCTCCAAGACCCCCAAATCCCCCCCAAAGCCCCCCAGGACCCCCCAAAATCCCCTCCAAGACCCATAAATCCCCCCCAAAGCCCCCCAGGACCCCCCAAATCCCCCCTAGACCCACCCAGGACCCCCCAAAACCCTCTCCAAGACCCCCCAAACCCCCCCAGGACCCCCCCAAACCCACCCAGGACCCCCCAAAATCCCCTCCAAGACCCCCAGATCCCCCCCAAACCCCCCCAGGACCCCCCGAATCCCCCCCAAAATCCCCTCCAAGACCCATAAATCCCCCCCAAAGCCCCCCAGGACCCCCCAAAATCCCCTCCAAGACCCCCCAAATCCCCCCCAAACCCACCCAGGACCCGCCAAAATCCCCTCCAAGACCCCCAAATCCCCCCCAAGACCCATAAATCACCCCCAAACCCACCCAGGACCCCCCAAAATCCCCTCCAAGACCCCCCAAACCCCCCCAGGACCCCCCCAGGACCCCCCAAACGGGCACCTTGAAGGAGGGCAGCCGGAGGGCGCCCCGCAGCCCCGCGCCCCCTCCCCGGGCCCAGTCCACGAGGGAGAGGGAGAGGAGGGCGGGGGGCGGCTCCTTCGGCCTCGGGGCCTCCTCACGGCCACGGCCCGACTGGAAGGGCTGGGGGAGAAAATTGGGGGGTCAGGGGGCGAAACTGGGCGGTCAGGGGGGCAAAAATTGGGGTCAGGGGGGCAACAGCGGGCTCAGGGGGGCAAAATGGGGGGGTCAGGGGGGTAAAATCGGGGGGAAAATGGGGGGGTTGGGGGAAAAACGGGGGGTTTGGGGGGAAAATGGGGGGTTTGGGTCAGATTTTGGGTCAGGTTCAGGGGCTGGTTTTAAAGCAGATTTTGGGCTGGTTTTTGGTCAGATTTTAAAGCACATTTTGGGCTGGTTTTGGTCAGATTTTGGGTCAGATTTGGGTCAGGTTCCACAGCAGATTTTGGGCTGGTTTTGGGTCAGATTTTAAAGCACATTTTGGGCTGGTTTTGGTCAGATTTTGGGCTGGTTCTGCAGCAGATTTCAGGGCAGTTTTGGTTAGATTTTGGGTCAGATTTTGGGTCAGGTTCCAAAGCAGATTTTAGGGCAGTTTTGGTCAGATTTTGGTCAGATTTGGGTCAGATTTTGCTCAGATTTTGGGTCAGATTTTGGGTCAGATTTTGGGCTGGTTTTGGTCAGATTTTGCTCAGATTTTGGGTCAGATTTGGGTCAGATTTTGCTCAGCTTTGTGCCCCACCTTGAGCTGCTCCTCCTTGCGCTCCCACCACGCGTCGAAGATTTGGGTCAGATTTTGCTCAGATTTTGCTCAGATTTTGGGTCAGATTTGGGTCAGATTTTGGTCAGATTTTGAGTCAGATTTGGGTCAGATTTTGGGTCAGGTTCAGGGACAGGTTTTAAAGCAGATTTTGGGCTGGTTTTGGTCAGATTTTGGGCCAGGTTTTGGTCAGATTTTAAAGCAGATTTTGGGCTGGTTTGGGTCAGATTTGGGTCAGATTTTGCTCAGATTTGGGTCAGAGTTTGGGCTGGTTTTGCTCAGATTTTAAAGCAGATTTTGCTCAGATTTTGGGCTGATTTTGCTCAGATTTTGGGCTGATTTTGCTCAGATTTTGGGCTGGTTTTGCTCAGGTTTTGCTCAGATTTGGCTCCGATTTTGCTCGGATTTGGGTCAGATTTTAAAGCAGATCTTGGGCTGATTTTGCCCAGATTTGGGTCAGAGTTTGGGCTGGTTTTACTCAGATTTTGCCCAGATTTTGGGCTGATTTTGCCCAGATTTGGGTGAGATTTTGCCCATCTTTTGTGCTCACCTTGAGCTGCTCCTCCTTGCGCTCCCACCACGCGTCGAAGATTTGGGTCAGATTTGGGTCAGATTTGGGTCAGATTTGGGTCAGACTTTGGGCTGATTTTGCTCAGATTTTGCTCAGATTTTGGGCTGATTTTGGGTCATATTTGCCCAGATTTGGCCCAGATTTTGCCCCCACCTTGAGCTGCTCCTCCTTGCGCTCCCACCACGCTTCGAAGATTTGGGTCAGATTTTGCTCAGATTTTGGGCTGATTTGGGGCTGGTTTTGCTCAGATTTGGGTCAGACTTTGGGCTGGTTTTGCCCAGATTTTGGGCTGATTTTGGGTCATATTTGCCCAGATTTTGCCCATCTTTTGTGCCCACCTTGAGCTGCTCCTCCTTGCGCTCCCACCACGCGTCGAAGATTTGGGTCAGATTTGGGTCAGATTTTGGTCAGGTTTTGGTCAGACTTTGGGTCAGATTTGGGTCAGATTTGGGTCAGATTTTGGGCTGGTTTTGCTCAGATTTTAAAGCAGATTTTGGGTCATATTTGCCCAGATTTGGCTCAGCTTTGTGCCCCACCTTGAGCTGCTCCTCCTTGCGCTCCCACCACGCGTCGAAGGCGCGGAAGGCCACGTTCTCCACCATTTTCCGGTTGAGGTCGCGCTGCATCGTGGCCTTCATCTCCTGCACCAGCGCCGCCAGGACCCCCTCCACGGGCCCGGGGGGCTCGGGGGGCGCGGGGGGCGCCGGGGGGTCCGTCCCCGGGGGTCTCTCCTCGGCCGTGGGGGGCTCGAAGGGCGGGGGAGGGGGCGGGAAGCGGGGGGGGCGGGGGAGGGGCGAAGTGGGGCGGTGGGGGAGGGGCGAAGGGGGCGCCCCCCCCGCCCCCTCCCCCCCCCCCCAAAGGCGGATTTGGGGGCGCGGAGGCGGCTCAGCAGCGGGAGGGGGGTGGGGACCCCCCCCCAGCGCCCCCCCGGACGCCCCAAAAGCTCCAACAGGGCCGGGGGGGACCCCCCGAAATCGGGGAGGGGGCGCGGGGGGGGAGGGGGGAGGGGCACGGCCATCAGGGGCTGGGGGGGGGGAGGGGGGGGGAAGGACGGGGGAGGGGGAGGGGGCTCCGGGAAGGGGGAGGGGGGCAGTGGGGGAGGGGCGTGGGGGGCGTCGCTGTTGTCGTCGGAGGAGATTTCCATGTCCTCCCCCGAGGAGGTCTGAAAATGGGGAGAAAATGGGGTGAAATGGGGCTGGGGGCACCCCCAGATGGGAGGTTACCCCAAAAACAGACGGAATTACCCCAAAAAACTGCAAAAAACGGCCCAAATTACCCCAAAACCAGCCCGAATCACCCCAAAAACCCCCCAAAAACGGCCCAAATAACCCCCAAAACAGCCCAAATCACCCCAAATAACTGCAAAAAACCACACAAATCAACCCAAAACAGACCAAATCACCCCAAAAAACGGCCCAAATCACCCCCAAAACAGCCCCAATCACCCCAAAACAGCCTGAATCACCCCAAAATGGGCCAAATCACACCAAAATGGGCCAAATTCACCTGAAATTGGCCCGAATCACCCCGAAAACCCCCAAAAAAACACCCAAACCACCCCAAATCACCCCAAAACCCCCTCAATTCCCCCCAAAACCTCCCCAAAACCCCCTCAAATCCCCCCAGAACCCCCCAAATCCTCCCCCAAGTCTCCCTAAAACCTCCCCAAACCCCCCCAAAATTTCCCCAAACCCCCCCAAATCCTTCCGAATCCCCTGAAAACCCCCCAAATCCTCCCCCAAGCCTCCCTAAAGCCCCCCAAATTTCCCCAAAACCTCCCCAAATCCCCCCATATCCCCCCCAAACCCCCCCAACTCCTCCCCAAACCCCCCAAATTGTCCCAAGTCCCCCCAAATTGTCCCAAATGCTCCCCGAAACCTCTCCAAACCCCCCCAAAACTCCCCAAAACCCCCCAAATTCCCCCCAAATTTCCCCAAACCCCCCAAATCCTCCCCAAAATCCCCTCCAAGCCTCCCCAAACCCCCCCAAATTTCCCCAAAACCCCCCCAAGCGTCCCTAAAACCCCCCAAACCCCCCGAATCCTCCCCCAAAATCCCCCCAAAACCCCCCCAAGCCCCCTCAAATCCTTCCAAATCCACCCAAACCCCCCGAATCCTCCCCCAAAATCCCCCCAAATCCCCCCAACCCCCCCAAAACCTCCCCCAAACCGCCCCAAGCCCCCCCCCCACTCACCCTCTCCTGCCCGTTGGGTCGGGGGCTCGGGGGGGCTCCTCCCTCCCCTCCCCCACCCCGGGGGGGCTCCGGGGGCTCTTCGGGGACCCCCCCGGGCCCCTCCTGGGGGGGCTCCCCGGGCCCCTCCCCCTCCCCATCGGCGGGGGGGGGGCTGGGCGGGGTGCGGGGGGGTTTGGGGGGGGTGGGGGTGGGGGGGCCTTCCTCCCCCGCCCCTCCCCCTCCCCCACCCTCCTCCTCCTCCTCGTGGGGGGCGGGGGCGGGGAAGAAGTGGGAGCGCTGCTCCTTCAGCAGCGCCTCGATGCGCGAGTCCAGGCTGGGGTGGGGGGCGAAGGGGACACTCTCGGGGGTCCCCTCGGGGGCCGGGGACCCCCCCCCGGGCGGGGGCGGGGCAGGGGGAGCCCCCCCGGGGGGAGGGGAAGAAGGGGGAGGGCGGGGGAGGGGAAGAAGGGGGAGGCAGGGAGGGGGTGGGGGGAGGGGGGGGGAAGGGCAGGAAGGAGCCCCCCGAGGGGGGAGGGGGTGGGGGAGGGGGTGGGGGTGGGGGAGGGGCGCGGCGGGAGGGGAAGGAGCCCCCCGGGACTCCCCCACCCCCCTCCGGGGGGCGGCGGGGGGAGGGGAAGGGGTCCGGGGGGAAGGGGAGCCTGGAAGGGAGAGGGGGAGGGGCGGTCAGAGAGACCCCGAAAATTGGGGAAATCGACCCCGAAAATTGGGGAAATCTACACCCAAAATATTGGGGAAATTCCCCCAGAAATTGGGGAAATCAACCCCAAAAATTGGGGAAATCAACCCCAAAAATTGGGGAAATCTACACCCAAAAATGGGGGAAATCAACCCCGAAAATTGGGGAAATACATCCCCAAAAATTGGGGAACCCCACCCCAAAAATTGGGGAAACTCCCCACCGAAAATTGGGGAAATACATCCCCAAAAATTGGGGAAATATATCCCCAAAAATTGGGGAAATACATCCCCAAAAATTGGGGAAATCCATCCCCAAAAATTGGGGAAATCTACACCCAAAAATTGGGGAATTCCACCCAAAAAATTGGGGAAATCAACCCCGAAAATTGGGGAAATCAACCCCAAAAATTGGGGAAACTCCCCACCGAAAATTGGGGAAATCCACCCCAAAAATTGGGGAAATCTACACCCAAAAATTGGGGAATTCCACCCAAAAATTGGGGAAATCCACACCAAAAAATTGGGGAAATCCATCCCCAAAAATTGGGGATATTCCACCCCAAAAATTGGGGAAATCCCACCCCAAAAAATCAGGGAAATTTCAAAAAAAAAAAAAATTGGGCAAATCCCATAAAAAATTGAGAAAATTCTCAAAAAACTGGAGATATCCCTCCAAAGTGGGGGAAATCCCCGAAAAAATAGGGGAAATCCCATACGAATTGAGGAAATCCCCAAAAGAATTCTGGGAAATTCCATACAAAGATTGAATAAATTCCCAAAAAATTGGGCAAATCCCATGGAAAGGGGAAACCCCCAAAAATCAGGATAATCCCCCCAAAACATCAGGGAGAACCCACCCTAAAAATCGGGGAAAAAGCCCCCCAAAAAATCGGGGAAATCCCACCAAAAATTGTGGAAATCCCTCAAAAAAATCGGGGAAATCCCCAAAAAATCTGGCAAACCCCCCCAAAAATCAGAGAAATCCCAAAAATATCTGGGAAACTCCCCAAAAAATCCCAAAATTCCCCCAAAATCCCAAATCCCCCCCAAGCCCTGCCGCCCACCCCCCAATATGGGATCCCCCCAACCCCCCCCAAAGCCCCAATTCCCCCCAAATCCCCCCCAAAAATCCCCAAATCTCCCAAAAATCCCCCCAAAATCTCCCCAAATCCCCCCAAAACCCCCCAATTCCCCCAAATCCCCCCCAAACCCCCCCAAAATCCCCCAACCCCCCCAAATCCCCCCAAAATCCCCCCAAAAATCCCAAAAACCCCCCCAAAATCCCCCAAATCCCCCCAAAATCCCCCAAAACCCCCCCAAAATAGCCCCAATTCCCCCCAAATTCCCCCAAAATCCCCCCAAATCTCCCCAAAAATCCTCAATTCCACCCCAATTCCCCCCAAATCCCCCCCAAACCCCCCCAAAATCCCCCCAAAAATCCCAAAAATCCCCCCAAATCCCCCCAACCCCCCCAAAAATCCCCAAAATCCCCCAAAAGACCCCAAAATCCGCCTCACCTGCTGCCGTAGGGGGAGGGGCTCCCGTCGGCGAAGGCCCCGAAGGGGGGTGGCGGTGGGGGAGGGGCGAAGGGCCCGAAGCCCCCCCCGGCCCCTCCCCCACCCCCGTCCTGGGGGGTCGCGCTGCCCCCCGGGGGTGGGGGAGGGGCGAAGGGGCCCTCGGCCGAGGGGCGGCGCGGGGGGGGGTCGGCCGGGGGGGGCGGCTGGGGGGGGGACCCCGAAATTAATTACCAAAATTAACCAAAATTAACCCAAAAATTGCATCAGGCACCCCAAAATTAACCAAAATTAACTAAAATTACCCCAAAATTAACCAAAATCACCCAAAATTAACCAAAATTACCCCGAAATTAACCAAAATTACCCCAAAAATCGCATCGGGCACCCCAAAATTAACCAAAATTACCCCAAAAACACATCCAGGAACCCAAAATTAACCAAAACCACCCCAAAATTACCCCAAATCACCCCAAAATTAACCAAAATTACCCAAAATTAACCAAAATCACCCCAAAAACCGCATCGGGCACCCCGAATTTAACCAAAATCACCCCAAAATTAACCAAAATCACGCCAAAATCACGTCAGGCATCCCAAAATTACCCCAAATCACCCCAAAATTACCCAAAATCACCCAAAAATTAACCAAAATCACCCCAAAAACCACATCAGGCGCCCCAAAATTACCCAAAATCACCCCAAAATCACCCAAAATCACACCAAATCCCCCCCAGGAACCCCAAAACCAACAAAATCCCCCCAGAACCCCCCAATTTCCCTATAAATTCCCCCATATCCCCCCAATTCCCCCCCATATCCTCCCCAATTCCCCCCCAATTTCCCCCTAAATCCCCCCAAATCCCCCCTAAATTCCCCCCAAATCCTCCCCAATTCTCACCCAATTCTCCCCCAATTCTCCCCAAACCCCCCCCAAATCCCCCCCAATTTCCCACTAAATCCGAAATCCCCCCCCAAATCCCCCAAAATCCTCCCCAATTCTCCCCAAATCCCCCCCAATTTCCCCCTAAATCCCCTAAATCCCCCCAAATCCCCCAAATTCTCCCCCAATTCCCCCCAGACCCCCCAAACTCCCCCCAGACCCCCCCCAGACCCCCTAAATCCCCCCAAATCCTCCCCAATTCTCCCCTGAAATCCCCCCAAGCCTCCCCCAGCCCCCCCAAAATCCCCCCAGACCCCCCAAATTTCCCCCCAGACCCCCCGAAATCGCCCCCAGACCCCCCAAATTTCCCCCCAGTCCCCCCGAAATCGCCCCCAGACCCCCCAAATTGCCCCCAAACCCCCCAATGTTCCCCCCAATTCCCCCCAAACCCCCTCCCAGCCCCCCAAAATCTCGCCCCCCACTTTCTCACCGTGTCCCCCCAGCCCCCCAGCCCCCTGAAACTCCCCAAAATCGCCCCAAACCCCCCGAATTTCCCCCAAAATCTCACCGTGTCGGGGCTCTCTGCGCTGTTTTTGCCGCTGCCCGTGGGGACGGTCTGGGGGGTGTAGGAGCCGCTGACGATCAGTTCATAGAGCTTCATCCTCTGCTGCCCTGCGACACCCCAAAACCCAAATCAGACCCAAAATATCCCAAATCAGAGCCCAAAACCCAAATCAGAGCCCAAAATATCCCAAATCAGAGCCCAAAATATCCCAAAATATCCGAGTTTGGGCCCAAAAATATCCCAAAAACCCAAATCAGAGCCCAAAATATCCCAAATCAGACCCCAAAATATCCCAAAAACCCAAATCAGAGCCAAAAACCCCAAATCAGAGCCCAAAATATCACAAATCAGACCCCAAAAACCCACATCAGAGCCCAAAATATCCCAAAATATCCCAAATCAGAGCCCAAAAACCCACATCAGAGCCCAAAAACACCACATCAGACCCCAAAATATCCCAAAAACCCAAATCAGAGCCCAAAATATCCCAAAAACCCAAATCAGAGCCCAAAATATCCCAAATCAGACCCCAAAAACCCAAATCGGAGCCCAAAATATCCCAAAAACCCAAATCAGAGCCCAAAATACCCCAAATCAGACCCCAAAAACCCACATCAGAGCCCAAAATATCACAAATCAGAGCCCAAAAACCCAAATCAGACCCAAAATATCCCAAATCAGACCCCAAAATATCCCAAATCAGACCCAAAATATCCCAAATCAGACCCAAAATATCCCAAATCAGACCCCAAAATATCCCAAATCAGACCCAAAATATCCCAAATCAGAGCCAAAATATCCCAAAATATCCGAGTTTGGGCCCAAAAATATCCCAAAAACCCAAATCAGACCCCAAAATATCCCAAATCAGAGCCCAAAATAGCCCAAAAACCCAAATCAGAGCCCAAAATATCCCAAATCAGAGCCCAAAATATCCCAAAAACCCAAATCAGAGCCAAAATATCACAAATCAGAGCCCAAAATAGCCCAAAAACCCAAATCAGACCCCAAAATATCCCAAAATATCCGGGGTCGGACCCAAAAATATCCCAAAATATCACATCGGACCCGAAAATATCCCAAAACCCCAAATCAGACCCCAAAATATCCCATCAGACCCCAAATCAGACCCCAAAAATATCCTAAAATACCGGGGTCGGACCCAAAAATATCCCAAAACAGCACATCAGACCCCAAAATATCCCAAAAACCCAAATCAGACCCCAAAATATCCGAAAATACCAGATCGGACCCCAAAATATTCCAAAATAACAGGTTTGGACCCAAAAATATCCCAAAACAGCACATCGGACCCAAAAATATCCCAAAATATCACATTGGACCCAAAAATATCCCAAAATACCCGGGTTTGGACCCAAAAACACCCCAAGAAAACCCCAAATCCCCCATAAACCCCCCATAAATCCCACATAAACCCCATAAATCCCCTATAAACCCTCCAAAACCCCATAAATCCCCTATAATCCCCTATAAAAACGCACCCCTGACATCGAGCTGTGCGTGGATGGCGGTGCCCATGGCACAGACACCCCATAAACCCCCATAAACCCCCCCAAAACCCCTATAAATCCCCTATAAACCCCATAAATCCCCTATAAACCCCCCAAAACCCCATAAATCCCTTATAAACACGCACCCCTGACATCCAGCTGGGTGTGGATGGCCGTGCCCATGACACAAACACCTCATAAACCCCCATAAAGCCCCTATAAACCCCCATAAATCCCCTATAAAACCCCATAAATCCCCTATAAACCCCAAAAACACCCACCCCTGACATCGAGCTGGGCGTGGATGGCCGTGCCCATGACACAGACACCCCATAAATCCCCCCCAAATCCCCTATAAACCCCATAAATCCCCCATAAATCCCCTATAAACCCCATAAATCCCCCATAAATCCCCTATAAACCCCCATAAATCCCACATAAACCCCATAAATCCCCTATAAATCCCCCATAAATCATCTTTAAACCCCATAAATCCCCTATAAATCCCCATAAATGCCCCATAAATCCCCTATAAACCCCACAAATCCCCTATAAACCCCATAAATCCCCCATAAATCCCCTATAAACCCCATAAACACCCACCCCTGACATCGAGCTGTGCGTGGATGGCCGTGCCCATGACACAGACACCCCATAAATCCCCTTTAAACCCCCATAAACCCCCATAAATCCCCTATAAATCCCAATAAATCCCCCATAAATCCCCTATAAACCCCAATAAACCCCCATAAATCCCCTATAAATCCCAATAAATCCCCCATAAATCCCCTATAAACCCCATAAATCTCCTATAAACCCCATAAATCCCCTATAAACCCCATAAACCCCCCAAAAACCCCCTATAAACTCCCATAAATCCCCTGTAAACCCCCATAAATCCCCTTTAAACCCCCATAAATCATCTTTAAACCCCATAAATCCCCCCAAATCCCCCATAAATCATCTTTAAACCCCATAAAACCCCTATAAACCCCCATAAATCCCCTATAAACCCCCATAAATCCCCATAAATCCCCTATAAAACCCCATAAATCCCATATAAACCCCATAAATCCCCTATAAACCCCATAAATCCCCCATAAACACCCCAAAACCCCCCAAAACCCCCCTAAATCCCCCCAAAAACCCACCCCTGACATTGAGCTGTGCGTGGATGGCCGTGCCCATGACACAGACACCTCATAAATCCCCTTTAAACCCCCATAAATCCCCTTTAAACCCCCATAAATCCCCTATAAACCCCCATAAATCCCCTTTAAACCCCCATAAATCCCCTATAAACCCCCATAAATCCCCTTTAAACCCCCATAAATCCCCATAAATCCCCTATAAACCCCCATAAATCCCCCATAAATCATCTTTAAACCCCATAAATCCCCTATAAACCCCCATAAATCCCCTATAAACCCCCCAAAACCCCATGAACACCCACCCCTGACATCGAGCTGTGCGTGGATGGCCATGCCCATGACACAGACACCCCATAAATCCCCCCCAAATCCCCTATAAACCCCATAAATCCCCCATAAATCCCCTATAAACCCCATAAATCCCCCATAAATCCCCCCAAAACGCACCCCTGACGTCGAGCTGTGCGTGGATGGCCGTGCCCATGACACATAAATCCCCTATAAACCCCCATAAATGCCCTATAAACCCCATAAATCCCCTATAAATCCCTTTTAAACCCCCATAAACCCCCATAAATCCCCTATAAACCCCATAAATCCCCTATAAACCCCCATAAATCCCCATAAATCCCCTATAAACCCCCCAAAACCCCTTTAAACCCCCATAAATCCTGTTTAAACCCCATAAATCCCTATAAACCCCCCAAAACCCCAATAAACACCCACCCCTGACATCGAGCTGGGCGTGGATGGCGGTGCCCATGACACAGACACCCCATAAATCCCCTATAAACCCCCATAAATCCCTTATAAACCCCTATAAACCCCATAAGTCCCCCCAAAACCCCCTAAATTCCCCCAAAAACGCACCCCTGACATCCAGCTGGGCGTGGATGGCGGTGCCCATGACACAAACACCTCATAAACCCCCATAAATCCCCTATAAACCCCCAAAACCCTATAAACCCCAATAAACACCCACCCCTGACATCGAGCTGGGCGTGGATGGCCGTGCCCATGACACAAACACCCCTTAAATCTCCTATAAACCCCATATAAACCCCCATAAATCCCTTATAAACCCCATAAATTCCCCATAAATCCCCTATAAACCCCCATAAATCCCACATAAACCCCATAAATCCCCTATAAATCCCCTATAAACACCCACCCCTGACGTCGAGCTGGGCATGGATGGCGGTGCCCATGACACAGACACCCCTTTAAACCCCTATAAACCCCCATAAAACCCCCCAAAACCCCAATAAATCCCCCATAAATCCCCTATAAACCCCATAAATCCCCTATAAACCCCCATAAATCCTGTTTAAATCCCCATAAATCCCATATAAACCCCAATAAACACCCACCCCTGACGTCGAGCTGAGCGTGGATGGTGGTGCCCATTCCCCAGACACCCCATAAATCCCTTTTAAACCCCTATAAATGCCCCATATATCCCCTATAAACCCCATAAATCCC